TGATACACAGTGTAGTTCAATTATTAGGTAAACCTCTGCTGTCTTAGATTGCATTGGTAAACCCTGGAAAGGTTGGCAGTATATCCTGGTTCATCATAGGTTTACTCACTCTGGTTTACCTTTCAACTTGTATTGAATTGTAAGAAAAAGCAGAATAGAAAATTTGCTGGTTTAATTTTTAAATATTTTTGAGAAACCTTGTTCACTTGTTTCAGAGTATTGGGCCCAAAGATTACAGTTCACGTAAATTAACCTAAACTGCTCTTATTAAAAGTAGTTAGGACAAGATTACCTATATGCTTCTAAAGAAAGGAAGAGAAATAATACTTTGACGCTTCTCCTAATGTTTTTGGGAACAGACTTTTCCTAAACAGCTTCACAGAATTCTCTGGTTATTCCATTACAATCTGCACCAAAGGTAGACAGCTGAAGAAATGATTTTGCATCAGGTTTGCCAAAAGTGTTAAATATAATGTATACATTGTTTTTATTTTTAAGATAGCTACATGTAAGTCTTAATTTTGCCCTGTAGAGAATGGAAAGGGACATTGTTTAACAAAGCAAAAGCAATTTCAAGTCTTATCAGATTATTTTGGACCTAATAAAATATGTGGTCATTATAAGCATCTCTGCTTTTACTTTCTTTTATTACTTATATATACATGAAAGTCAGAATTCCTGCATATGCGACTGATGTAGCAGTGACTTTATACAGAGTTTATTTGTATAAATTACTATTTATACATAACTTGAAGTATTCCAAATTTCAATCATTCTAAAACTTTTAATAAAATTTTGTCATTCAGATCTTCTGTAGGTGTCCTTAAAATTATCTAATGTATATAATGAGAAATATCTTTTGATGTTACCAGAGAAAGAAGAAAATCCAACATTCAACTTAGAAGAGTTGACACTAAAAGTAGAATCTCTTTCATGAACTTAATAAAAATATACAAATGCTCTGGAGTACATCCATGTAAGAGATTTCAAACACATAAAACCAGGACATTTACAAAAGAGTTTTGACAGGAAATAATTGGATGGGTTTAAAACCATTTCTAACCGGACAATATTTATCTAGAAAGCCTAAAATATCTGTCCAAGTAATTACATATTTGCTGGAATGAATAAAATGTGAGGAAATTTCTAAAGCAGTTTTAGCTGCTACAGGATAATTACAAATAGCATTCCGTTTATAATTTAAAATCTATTCCTAAAATTTACTTTAAGGAAATACATAAACATACACAAATTGTTATATATTTAAGTAATAAATAATTTATATATATATATAAAATAACTGTTATATTAATTGCAATAATACATCTTTAAAGAGTGAAAAATCTGTCATGAAAATCAGAGTTTGAGATATTTGCATAAAATAATAGTTCAGCCAATAATTTCCAATACATTTAAAATTATCATCAATTTTTTCTTTTTTTCAGTGTAACTAAATAGTACTAAATTGGCTGATATATTTTGGGTACCATAAAGGGAGTAAAGCTGTGATGCTGGCTTTGCAGACGTAACACCGAATTCTGGCCTGTCCTTTGATACACTGAGCAATAAAAAATAGTCAAGAGAATATGTAAAGAAAGCCACAACCTTTAAAGAATAAAAAGCTTTCTTTAGCACTTTACTTTTCTGCTTTTCATGCTCATACCTTTCTATGCCTGAGATAATCTACTAGATAAACAAACTATGAGCTCAGGGGGAAAGAGTTCCCTTAAAATTCAAAGAAAAGTGAAAATCAAATAGCTAAAATAAAGTTTGGAGGTATATTTAAAGTGCTGTCAGAAAAAACTCTTCTGGGTCAGATTTAAAATATGCTTCAAAAAACAATTAAAACCTCTTTCCAGGAAGGAATCTGAAAAAAAAACCCCAAACTTTACTTAAACCTTCATGTTATCCTCTTCAAAGAATGTGTCAGCATTTGACTGGTTAACTTGCTCTTATTCTGAGATTCAAGCTTCCTGCTGAAGTAGACTTACACATGCACTTTGCAATTGTGTACAGTATTTCATAAGGAAATGCAGCTTTACTGTGGTATCATCTGAGAAACACTCAAGAACTGGAGATGCAAAAGTATGGTACATCTAAGAGTGGACCTTTGAATAGCCTTGACATGGCTAAGAGAAGCACTAATGACTTAAATTAATTACGATTTTAATTTCTTATTCAATATATGTTGTCTGGATTTTTGCCATAAGAATGACACTGCATAAAGCTAACCATGATTACTGTGTTCTATGCAATAAATACACTCTTTTTATAATCACTCATTGTTAGAAATGAGTAGAGGAGAAGATTAAACCTTAGAAAAAAGATCCTGGATTTTTCCAACAATTTCTTTCAAACGCTTTTCTTAGAAATTAAGAAAATAATAAATACCATTGTTTCCACATTAAGTATCTGCTCCAGCTGTGGTTTCTATACACCAATAACAGAATGTAACTGCTGTACTTCTGTACAGATGGTCTTGACTCAGTGTTAATGTGAATCCTTAGAGAATGTAAGTGTTGATTCTCACATGTGCAGTCACTTCACAGCCATTTTTTAAAATATGCAAGGAATTGCTTTTGCAGAAACGAAACAAAGTCAGCTATCTACATTACTGCAAAGCATTTATATGGCCAAACAAAACCAGAGCTTAAATCCAGAATTCTGAACTCTTAAGAGCAGACAAATATACACCTAGATATTTGTCTGTGTGGATTTTCAAGAAAAGCACACAAAACCATGCATGTGTGTATTCTGAAAATCAACAGATGCTAGACAGTCCTTAGGTTGCATGAACTGTTAAATCTGCCTCAAAACGAACATCTGGAACATTTAAATCTTAAATCTAGAGTCGATCTTCTAGAGTCCCTGGGGACTGTAATGAAGGACTGACTGCACAAACATCTGTCCTTGTCTGCTGAAGGATTTATTTTCTTAGATAAAGTCAGGCAAAATGGCAGCTTGTTCAAGCCATGATGTTAATGTTTATAGTTGCTAGACTGCTAAACCTACCCCAGCCAAGGACTAAAAGCTCACTATTAATGCAAGTGTACTCAGAACTTTATGGTTGTGGCAGTTAACCATAATGCTTATTTTTGGATATAAATAATTTTGCCACTCTTGAAGTATTTATAATTTCCTCCAAATCCAGAGATTGTGTCAATCTTTTATTTTCCTATGGTTTTACTGCTTGTTTTTTACCTTCTACCTCTCAAGTAAATCTAGAGTAACACAAGTATTAACAAAAAACATTAACATTTTTTTTTCCCTTGCAGTATCTTAAAACTTCACCTCTAGATAGTATTTCTTACCAACAAAAAAAACCCCATAAAAGTCCCCTACAAAAAACATGTGCTTTAGAACTATTAGGTCTGTCTGAATCAGGGTTCTCTCTCTAAAACACGGGTGTACCCTGCAGTGACTGTGTAGGTTCTTTACCTCCTTAATTTTCACTTGGCAAGTAGCCCAAGCCTCTGCTTTAAATTTCCCACTTGGTACCACTAGTATGGCACCTGAAGAGTAATTAGTTGTAAGAAGGGGAATTTGAATCGTTTGCTGAGAAGGAAAAAAAATATGCATGCCTAATAAAGATTTCTTCCTTGAGTACCCGAAACACCCTTTATTTATTTTTGCTTGGAATGCACCACCCTTTAATTAGACCGGTGACCAATTTTTTTAAATACCTTCCAGAAAAACGGAGTGATAGAAAACCAGTTTAGTTTTGAAGCCATGCTATTTTTGTTTTAGTCAGTCTTTTCCATTACAGCAGCTCTTATCTTGACATAAATTTGTTCCCCCGCTTTTTGCTTTTTTTTAACCAGCTCCCTGAAAACGACATTTTCTATTTTATTTCTCACATTGATCTTCTATGGACACCTAAGGAGTAGTCTTCTAGGAAGGTAAGTCGTGAAGTCTGAGAAATTAGAACATTTTAGCTAAATTACACGTATAGTTCCCTGTGAAGTTTATACTGTCCATGAAACTTTACATTATCTGCTTGTAAGACAGACAGATCTTCATTGGTTCCAATGACCTTGGAAACTGTTTTTAAACAATACATTACACATATATAGTTATGTAAAATGAGTAGCAGAAATGAAGTTTTCCCTCCTCCAGAAATTAGCAGTTCCCTAGTCCTAAGAAAGTGAAAAGTGCTGCTCCTGATACTGCTTCTGCCTTCTGTGCCAAGACAAAAATACAGAGAAGTTTGAGGGGGAGGGGATTTGATTTCTTTTTTAATGTCTGCCTCCTTCCAGCAAGTCCATCTGTTGCAGTACTATAATTCTGGAAGCAGGATGTGTGTGTGACCAACAGGAGACAATTACTGCATAAGTGTTTGTTGATTCAGCTCTATAAAGGGCAGGCCAATCACTACAGTATGAACAGAAAAGAATTCCAGCTGAGGAGCTGCATATAGATTAACACAAAATACATATATACATGAGAATGGGGAAAACCAGAAAGGAGTAATGGCATGGAAGAGGATTAAGTAGAAATGAAGACTGAAGCAGAGAAGAAAGTTTGTGTCCTTGGGCTGTTAACTAAATACTTTACTAGTCTCTATTTCCATAAACTTTGTGTGTTGACTTTTCACTCCAACAGAGAGAGATGGGATTAAATAGATATGGAACTGGTCTGAGCCCCCTTTGGAAGAAAAGTTTTCTTGGTTTGTAAGGAGCAGTGCCTGTTCTTCACAGAGGAACAGTTCTGGACTGACCAAAGTCTCAGGAAGGCTTCCAGATCACAGGCTAGAAGTGAAAATTACCTCACTCATCTGAATACATGTAAAATACCAGCATGAAACCACTTTCTTTTCAAAAGGATAAATGACTTGCGTTGATACACAAGCCTCAATATCATTTATACATAATAACTGGGCCACACAAAGCGTGGTAATATATAATATTTCATAATTTTGCCTATATTAAATTAAAAAACAAAAATCAGTGTTATCAAAATTTCACAGAACTACAGTAGAATTAAGGTGAACATTGCAAGACACTATAATGAAAAGTACTTTACCTCTATGGCCAGTTTATTAACTTGAAGTCTCTGATCAGCCAAAGGTAGATGACTAGTTAATTTCTCATTGCTTTCTTTAACATTCTTAATGAAATCCACCGCTGTCATTTTTTTTTACTCTGTAAAACAGCTATCTCCTTCTGCAGTGACTTGATTTTTTCCTGTAGTTGAGTAACAGAGTAACCCTGGACAGTTTCTGGAGACAGTGGTATTTCTCCTCTTTGCTCTGCTCACTGAACATAAAATGTCATGTTACTAAATGGACAAAATCATCATAAATAAAATGATTTATGATTTTGCTTTGGCCCTTCAAAACAGTCTTGCAGTCTCTAAAATATATATCAGTAAGTAAACTGGTAAATTAACAGCTGACCTATAAAAACATAAAACATATAAAACAGTGATCCTATAAACACTCCGTGTTCTACTTTTTCTGAAATGCCAACAATGCAAAATCAACAAGGACTTGGAAGTTACATGTCTTGAATTTCTGATCAAGATTATCAAAAATAAAGGCTTCAGTGTCTCATTACCAGGCTGGGTTTTTTGAGGTCTAAACCAAAATACATTTAATTTGTTTCCTTGGCTATGTTTGCTATAAGGGGCAAACATGAACAAAAGGTAATGAAAAACCTCATATCAGTCAGTAGATTCACTAGGTGGAACTTATTAAAAACTAACTTTAACTGTGTGAAAAGATGCTGTTTGACAGTCATTTATTACATGAGAATTTCACTTTAAAATAATGATCTAAATATCTGAAAATATACATACAAATTCAAAAAAGCAAATCTTGCAACAGCTTATCAGTGGGTTTGTACACTAATTTACTGGGTATTAAATGCTCAGTGTATATATAAACACTTTCGATCAGGAATACTGCAACATTTCTCTGATTTTTTAAGTCTTCAGATTGCAATTTCTATGTTATGTCATGCAACATATTTCCGAGAATATTCATATCTAAAATAGCTGTTAAGCAAATTTAAAAGAGTAAAGATCAACACATTCTCTACAAACTGCACTGAACAAACTAGTGACATTGCAGAAAAACTTAGCCATGAATTGTAGATGAGTACAATCACCACACTATTTGAAAGACCAAGAACTGAGCTCTCAGCAGATGATGAGCAAACAATCCATGCCTGCAGCAAAAAGATGGAGATCTCCATTCTAGGCCACAGGTCTAATAAATGGATGAGTTGTAAGAGAGTTTCAGTAACTCTGCTGACACCACACAGGGTATTATATATTCCTACCATGTGAGGAAAAGCTGACCAAGTCCTTTTATCATAAATGGTCTCATCTCCAACCCTGTGCACAGCTCAAGACTTTGGAGACTGCTTTAGCCTCTCTTTGTATGAGAATACCGTGATCCAGCAGTAGGGTCCTTAAATCCTCTGGATAGATTCAAGAATTCTGTTAAAAGTGTTGTTCCCAGCTGTCAATGCTAAATGTTTGTGCAATACTTCCTTCCATACTCACAAACCATGTTTTCAAATCCTTTTCCTGCAATGGGGGAGTTCTGCTGAAGCACATTTAACTGCTTAGGGCTCTCTGGACACTTCCTGAGTTTGCTTCAGTTCCACCAGTCTGTTACAGATGTCTATCAGAATGCATTTATGTTCTCCAGTCAGAACAGAGAGTAAATGTAATACAGGCCCTACTGAAATTGCACTGGCTGTGCTACACTACCAATCAAGAGAGGACAGTCTCCTGGATTTCCTGGATGCCTCCTCATTCAGGAGTAGCAGAAGATTTTCAGGAGTAGCACATTCTTGTCAGATTTTCATATATATCATGTGTACCTATTCATACTGTGTATTGTTACCAACAGATTAATGGATAAGATTTTTCTTTTTTTTCAGTTTACTTGACCAAAAAGTATTGAAATAATACAATCAAGAATATGTAACAAGCCCAGAGAGTATGCATTTGCTTTAAAATTTTGGAAGCTAAGAAAACATAAATTTTTTTCCAACTCATATCACCATTCAAAATACTGAATTTCAAACTAGTTATCTGAAAGCAGCAAGTTGTTCAGTGTGTCAGTATTCTGTTTCTTGAACTAAGAAATAGTAATATCTACTTATGTTTAAAATTCCATGAAGTGATTTATTTGGACAAACACAGGAGGGAAAACCTATTAGACACTGTTAAAAAGTCCAAGAATGAGTCATCTGTTACAGATTGCATGGAGCCTCTAAAGAGCTGGGACACAACCAGCTGGCCCTCTTCTGTGAGAAAACAGTATATAGATGCTAGCAATGAGACAAGCAGTTAAAATCCCAGACAATGACTGTAAAATAGGCTAAGAAGAAGCTAAAAAGCACGCTTTTCAGAATCTCCTGGACACAGTATCTTTCTAAGATGGAGGAACTCATCCACTACACAACAAACAAGCTGAGAGACATTTATGCTTGATTAGTCAGCACTTGGCTAGAAGGGAGGGAGAGCGGGGTGTTGCTGTCTCCCTGTTAAGGGTTAGGTCAGCCTGTTCCGTATGGTGTTTCTGACTGAAAGTTTAATGAGGTGCCTGTGGCATTCTTTGTCTGGACTATGAGACAGCACCACTAGCTTACAGCAGCTTTAGGTTTTTAAACCAACTTTTACATTTCTGTCCAAATACTTTTACCAATATATCTGGGTTGATTTTGTTAGTGGGGGAGCTACAGGGCTGGCTTCTGTGAGAAGTTCTCAGAAGCTTCTTCCATGTCCAGCAAAGTCAATGCTAGACAGCTCAAAGCCACCATTAGCCAGGACTGGGCCACTTGGAAATGATAGCACCTCTGTGATAACATAATTAAGAAGGAAAAAAGTGATTGAAGATGTATTGGTGGCCACAGAAGAGCAGAGAGAGAATATGTGACAGGAACAACCCTGCAGACACCAAGGTCAGTGCAGAAGGAGGGACAGGAGATGCTCCAGCAGCTGCTGGAGCTCAGATTCCCCTGCAGCCCGTGGTGCAGACCATGGTGAAGCAGCTGCAGCCCATGGAGGATCACAGGGATGCAGAGATCCACCCGAAGAGGAGACCCAATCCAGAGCAAGGGAATTCCTGAGAGGAGGCTGTGACCCCGTGGGAGGCCTGTGCTGGAGCAGGCTCCAGGCAGGGAGCTGCAGACCTGGGGAGAGAGGAGCCCACACCGGAGCAGATTTCCTGGCAGGACTTGTGATCCCACGGGGGCCCCACGCTGGAGCAGCCTGTCCTTGGAGGACTGCACCCCGTGCAAGAGTGACCCACCCTGCAGCAGTTTGTGGAGGACTGCTGCCATGGCATGGACTCACACTGGAGAAGTTCATGGAAAACTGTCTCCTGTGGGAGGGACCCCACGCTGGAGCAGGGCAAGGACTCCTCTCCCCGAGCAGTGGAGAACTGACCCTAACCCCCATTCCCTGTCTCCATGCACTGCTGGGGGGAAGGAGCTGGGAAGGAGCAAGGAGTGGGAATAAGGTGTCTTTAAGGTCTTACTTTACTTCTCATTATTCTTCTCTGATTTTGTTAGTAAAAATTAAATTTATATGTCTAATTCAGGTTTTTTTTGCCCATGGCAGTATTTGATGAGTGATCTCTCTCTATCCCTATCTCAGCCCACAAATCCTTTGTTATATTTTCTCTCCCATGTCCAGCTGAAGAGGGCAGTGAACAAGAGGCTTTGGTGGATGCCTGGCATCTGGCCAGGGTCAATCCACAACAGCACACTTACTGTTCAAAAAATATTCTAAAATATAATGAATCCACCCACTGAATATCTGGAAGCCGACTTTCACTTCTATATTGAGAGTCAAATTAAGAGCGGACAGCAGGGCTAATATTAAATTCCAAAACTCCACCCAAGAGAACAAAACAAATTCTATTATATACCTTTTTATTATATTGCTCATTTTGGGCTTCTAAATGAACCACATTGCAGGGCTTTTTTTCTTCTTGTTTACTTCTGTAAGTGGATCAATGTTTTGCACTGTCTTCATAATCACTGTTTCCAAACTTGTGGAAGTCGGTATTTCAGTCACTAAAGTGGCACATGAAGGAAAACAAACAACAAACAAACACACACACACACCCCCATAACCAAGCTAAATATTAAATGTTCCAGAGTCAGTGCATGAGCATATAAACTCATGCAAGGAAGAAGAGAAACTAATGTAAAACGCAAACAGTAAGTTGACTCACTCAACACATTTTACCAATACAATAAAGCAAAAATCTATCTCTGAAATGATTTTATTTAAGTTCTACTCTTTCAAATGCAATCTGAAATTATTTTACTTAAGTTCTACTCTTTCAAATGCAATCTCACTCTACAATGCAGAGAGGCCTGAGACTTCAGCTGCTTCTTAAAAGACAACTTTCGTGACAATCCACAGAAGTGAAATAAATGAAAAATACTTTATTGTACTTCTAGTTTGTGAATGGCTCATAAACTACTAAATTTATACTTTATTTTCACATTTTATAACAAGTAAATACGCAATACTTAATTACATTTTGTTTCAATAGAACTTTATTTGTAGTGTTGACTGAGACAAACTCAGGAATCACACTTCAGGGAAGCTCTATTTAGCACCCCTTTAGCATGCTCTTAAATTCTGTAAATCTTTTAATCCCTACAATGAGATTCCTGCAGAGAAACTGGACCTGAAACTTTAAATCTGCTTACAATTTTTCCTTAGAATTGCACTCAATGCGCTCCTAATTTCCAGTTTTTCACTGCCTTACTCCACATTATCATTTGCTTTCTTATATTCCGGGAAGTCTACTTTAAAACATGAAGTCTTGGATATATCCTTTTCTGTAACATCAGTGGCTATTTATCATCATTTGTGTGAGCAGATTTGTGAAAGAATCCCTTGACAGAAGACTATTTTGATTTGTTTCTTTTTAAACCAAGGTTTTTAAAACAGCATAACTGAGTTCAAATTAAGTTACAGCATCAAGAAAATCAATGGTTTAGAGATACAGTTTACTTAACCAGAGAAAAGGCCTCAAACTGACAAGAAGAGTTCACACAAGAACATGTTTATACTTTTCAAAATCTGTCCTAACATATTCCTATGTCTTACTGATTGATGAGAACAGAAATCAATGCAATTTGATTAAAAGGGCTTTTGTACAGCCATGGAGATATTTCTCACTACATACACATTTCCCTCGCCTGCTTTAAGGAATGTTCTATTTAGAAAATGGAAGTCTTGCATTTAGAAACTCAGAACCAGCTACTAGTGATAAAGAATGGTATTTATTAATAAGCAGAAGAGGAAACTAAATGAAGATACTTCCATAATTTGTTGAGAATGACACCTTGAAACTTCGCTTTCAAAAATGTTCACTGTACTATGACAAGAATTCCCTAACCAAATATTTGTACAATTATTAAAAGCAGTATTTATGGCTAGCCACAAGAGAAGCTATGCAATTACCTTTCATTTCAAACTTAAAATGAAATGACAATGTTCTTGCTCAATTTTTTTCTTAAGGAGTACAACTTAGCAAATTAAATACTCACTAATTACAACATGCATATGTGCATTCCATATGTGCAAATATGCATGTTTTCCAGTAAAATCAGATCTGCAGTATTTAATTATACATAACACCAAAAAGCTTTACATTAATGATAACAACTGACAAATTACAGGGTTCTTATTTTTTTTTCTCCTTCAAGATACTGTGCCCAGGAACCCCCTATTTTGAATGGAGAGAAATAGTAACAAAGCTTAATTTGCCACTACTGATTTGCTCTGAATGACACATAGAGCCAGTATAAAGCCTATGAAGACAATTCCATTATCTTTACTCTTTTTCCATGTTTCCTGTATTTTGAAAACATACAGGCTTGATAAATTTCTTTGCATGTCTCTTAGAACAAAGTTGTGAAAGACAAGGTTTGATGGCCATTTACATAGTGGCTAACTGCTGCCACCTCAAGTATATGGGGACATAATAAAGAGAAGCAAAAATTCTCATTGTTTATATGACGCTTGCCAGTGGAATTTTCTGAGAGGCTTTTGATTCATGACTGGGATTGTATGTGGTAACCATCACCTTTAAAGAACTGATTTTTAACCATCATTCAATTAAAGTTTGTACAATGACTGCATAAAACATACATGAAATAATTAGTGTGGATGGTTCTTAATTTAAAGGATGTTAAACAGCTTGTAGACATCTGCTAGCAAGCTGAAATGGGTCATTCAAAATTTATCTAACTAAATTAAGGGGAAAAAATGTTTCTCCTCCCGGGTCGGCATGTCACAAGATAACTAAACCGACTTACTAGGCTTGCCTGGGAATCCTTAGCTGTCAGTGGTGAATATGCAAAAGGCCAGCAAATTAAATCAACCTGCCAAACTGTCAATTTCAAGCCTCATGACTGCATGAAAATAGCATCACTGGAAGAAATCAAGCATTGCCTTCTTTTGGGTTTCCTGGCACCTATTCAAATACTCATGCAGTTGTGGCTAATTTCGCATGCAAATTTCAGTCAATAAGCTCAGAACAAGACCTCCCAAGATATTTCAAAGGATCTGACAGTATTTTTTTTGAATACCAAATCAACAGTAGTTGAAATTCAATCTTCATTTGCTAGTGCTTTACATATGCACAGTGTCCCCTCTACAGGGCTAAGTTAATGAGAGCCGTACCTGCTTTCACTCACATCCTCCCAGCTGTCCTTACTGAAGTTCTCAAATACATTACTCATAACCTTGATGGACTGTTTGAGAAAAGCTCCATGATGTCCCAAAGAGCTCTTTTTCTTGGCTGTTTTTAATTTAACCTTGGTGCCTGTTATCTTGCAATTACATTGCCCAGAGATTGCCACTGCTTTGGCTTTATCCGGCAAACACTTCTGCTCCTGCACTTGACTCAGCAAATCTTCACTTTCGTTTCTCAACCTGTTAGCTTCTGTCACTTGCCTCTTCAAAGAGGGAGCTTCTTTTCCCTTCTCATCAATTACTAACTGAAATTCTGCTTTTTTCTATTTTTACTTCACAAATCCTCTTAAGCAGTGTTTCCAGCTCTCTTTTTCTTGTGTCTGCATCTTCCTTTTGTTGCACTTTTAAAGATTCTTTCAAATAATTGTTTTCATTCAGTAAGTCTTTATTTACTTCTTTCTGTCTCTTTAATCCCCTTTCAATAGCTTTGAATCTTCTTTCTAGTCACTGTACCTGAAAAAAAACAATTTTAGCATTCACAATATTTTAGCCCATCTTGAAAAATCCCAAACTATGTTTTCAGATATCTTTATTATATGACAATAGTATCACATGAAGAGCAAGGACAAAAGCTATCTGTAGTCCTCAGCCTAAAATTAATTTTAATGTAGTGCAGATGAAAACATTTTAGCTGCAATAATACAGCTGTTGAACAAAGGGCAGATGGTAAAAGAACTTGAAATTCCAGCCAAAATGACACACAGAAGTTTTAAGTATGCCATGTTAATGAATCTTCCTGATGCATCTTGAGCTCATTACATATTTGGTTATACATACTAATTGAATTTAAAAAAACATTTTCAGAAGGAATACTACTTTGAAATATGGACAATTTTGCCGTACCTATCTGAAGCAACAAGTTCTTTCAAGCGTCACAAATACAGAAATAAAATATTAATTTTATCTTTCAAAAAACCCCAAACAAATTCTAGCAAGAGGTATCAGAAACAGAGCATCTGAAAATATGGAAGCTGGAATGTTTTCCTTTCACAGAAAGAGAAAATCTATTGTGTTTCAATTAAGAGATTAATTCTACAAGTTTCTCACATAAATTTTGGAGAAGCATTCTACCTATGTTTCGCTTCTAAAGTCCTTAGAGGTTTATGGATTTGAAGTCCATTAACAATAAACTGATTCTCTGTGATGTTCTGGAATATCCACATAAACAACAATTTCCAGAAATAAGGGGTAATTTTAATTTTAGCAGCTACTAAAATGATTGTTTAGTCTATGAGACATCCCATAAGCCTGAAAAGGGCGTCAGAGCAAGTTCTGTGCTCAGTAACCACTTGCTCCAATACTTGGAGAAATATTTTTGGCTTCGTTTTGTACAGGCTCAGCCCCCACTCTTTCACTAAGGGAAGTGTCAGGAGTTCTGGGTTTCTCCATACATTGCTAGGAAAGACTATTTTTCCAGGAGCTATGTGCATGGCTAATTTGAGCTCCCAACCTTGTAAAATACTGGCCAGCTCCCACACTTTGCAGCAATATAAAATGTCAAAACTACCTTTGACACTGAGAATACTGAAACCATACTATTTCTGTAAGTTTCTGCTTACAGGTTTTTACAACTACATTTTGCCAATGATTTTAAATAATTCTAAAATTTATGAAATGTTTTACGAAGTGACACTACAGATATGAATCAGATAAATGAGAGCTCTTGATGTACCGGGAAAATCAGAACGAGAGCTGATCAAACATCATATGCATTTGTGAATTGGATACTGAATTTTTGAGTTTGATAGGAAATCTTTAATATGAAGAGACAACATATTATGGCTACATAAAGTTGCTGGGTAAAATTAGAAATAAAAGGATTTCATCTTTTTCAAATGCTTTGGTGAAACAAAGGGTTATGATTAAAATCACAGGTTGCACATTCCACCCCAATGACAATGTGTTAGACCAATATCTTTCTTCAATCACCTTCCTAAACTGAGATTCCACTACTGTTTTCTCAGTTCTTTAAAGCAACCTTTTGCACTCAGTAGCACTTAAAGTCATGTATGACAGCTGGAAGGAAATAAACAATGAATAGCTTCTACACCTATCCCTAAGGTACCATCATAACTCTGTATATCCATAGAGATAAAAATTATGTAGTACCTGGCAAACAAAATTATAGTTCTGAAATATAGATGATAAGCAAGCATAAACTGTGACATTTCAGATGGTAGCATTCATATTATTTCAATTACTCACTCTACCTTAAGATAAATGAATGTGAGCACTTCCTATTCTGTGTGTTATTATTTTAACATGATGTTTGTCATTCAGTAATAACGAGATGACAGCCTTCATTGCCTGACCATATGGCAAGTGTTACAAGTATATGCAATCACATCATCTGCTGTAAATTACCATACTTCCTACAAGTTAATTCACAGATAAAAAATAAATAGACATACCTGAACTGACATTCAAAGTTATAGATTTGTGTTTATTCAATTTAAGCATGCTTTTAAAGATTTATAAGTAATTAAACAAATAGTTTTGCAAAATGACAAACAAAAGGCATGATACTGTTTGAAGGATGCCTTTTCTTTGCAAGCAAACAAAACATATGGTAAAATACAAGTGAGCCCTCTTAAGTGAACACCTGTTATCACACTAAACTACTTGTGTATATTACAAATATCAATACAATACCAACTAGTTAAGAACATCTAATTACTGTATGAGGCAAAACCTGTAGAATGTTAAGAAGTGAAGATAAAATACTTATCATTATTTGTTAAACTAGAGAACACCATATGCTTATGGTACTGTCTTGTAAAAAGACTGGTAGACCCACACACAGGTAGAAAATATTGGCACATGAAACATTGTGCTAAAATTTAAATACAAAAAATGGTGGATTTATCACTATTATGCATCAATTCTGTTCTGTAGAGGAGATCTATGGAGATTAACACTTGATATAATCTGACATTAAAAACACAGAAAAAAAAAAGGTTCCCAAAGTTAAGGGGAAAAATGCTAAGTGTATGTTACTTATAATTTAGATAATCTGTTAGCTTTTAACATTATACCTCTAAACATTCCTTTCATTTTCTCTGACATCACCCATGTTTATCTTACATGACAGATTCATGTAAGATTCACAGCTATTTCCCTAGAATTTATTTCTGAATTCAGGAAGGCCATATTTTTAAATTATGAAGGAAAATAATGGCTTAAATTCTTGAGTACTGACATACATACACACAAACATACATATATACATACATACATACATACATATGTATGTATATATCTAGATAGATAGATAGATAGATAGATAGATAGATAGATAGATAGATTCTTATATTAAAATTTAGATCTGTTTGTTTGCCTTGGTATCTTACCTTCTGTAACATCTCATGTGAAACTTCTCTCATATACCTCTTTGGAGTATTACCCTTGACCCCATCATCTTCACTAAGTTTAAAAAGTGGCTCTATCAGAAAATAAATAACACAACTTCATCATATAATAAATAAAATACATTATGACACTTAGTATTTCATTAAAACTATCTGCAGACATTTTAAGGAAATATATTCTTTACTTCTGCTATTATTTAGAATGTGGTCTATTTTCTTGACAAGCTTTTTGGTCAGTTTCTAAAGTGACCTCTCTTCAAAGTGTTCTGTCACATAATTATGAATCTCTCTAGAATCACAGTATGTTTTTTTTCAGAGTACAAGCTTTTCAAAGGTACAATAGATCTGCAGGTTAAAGACACTGTACTTTCATTCCAATTTTTATTCTTTTACAGACTATTCCCTCTATGCCTTAAAAGCAGAATTCATTGCCGTTTTATCTACACAGTCACTATCAGTTTTGTTCTCTAGGTCTTGTCCCCTGCTAGGAGGATCAGAGTGATTGGTGAACAAAGCAAACAGTAACTGTATTAGGATGGATGAAAACTTTAAACCCTGGTTTTGTTACGTTAAAGATCATGTACTTCACTAGATAAATCACACAAATCATTCAACTGAAATACTGTGAAATCACAACAATTATAAATTGATACAGCTAATGACAGCCAACACAATTCTAAATATCACTGTCAGAGACAGCTATACACTTTAATACTAAAAAATTCTAAGTTAAAAAATTAGTTAGACCTATTCATAAAAAAAAAAAAAAGTTTAGAAGTACCAATATGTATGGTCAATCAGAAGTCAAGAGCTTAGCATTCAAAAATTGCCCAGTGCTCACAGAAATAAGCAATTACACCACTCAGAAGGATTTCATCTTAGAATATGAAATATTGCATTGAAGAACAAAAAAATCCCAATACTCTAAAAGCACCACAATATTAGTATTTCTTTTTTTGGTCCTCCTTTCCCCCAGATGAACTTAAAGAATTAATCTTATGGGATAAATATCTGTGCTACATGGTGGAGGTCTGCATTAGAAGCAACATTTCAAACTACAAGCAGGCACCACAGGTCACTTAAAAACTTTTGATTTATAAACAAAGCAAGTGTAGAAGAAAACAGTGTTACTCTCTGTAGATTCACAATCCTCTTGATATAAACAGTGACTAACAAGTTTGTTAGAGTGAATTAGACCTTTCTTTTGTCTTTGGAACATGTCATGGCCAATTAATACTTCTGTATTCATGAAATAAATGGAACACTATTCTAAAGATAATAAAAGCTGAAAAAGGTAAAACTATGCATCTGGGGAATATGTACCTTTACCTTGATATTAATATGTTAGTTCCCATGTTACTTCAGACTACAGTCCCCCAGCACAGTGGTACTGCATACATTTAGAACATTCTTTAAGTAACACACAAAGATAATACGAACATGCTTTTCATCTTTTTCTAAATATTCACTCATTTGAATGCCTGTTGTAGCTTTTATATCAGCATTTACTGTACTCCACTGAAAAGAAAAATTATTTCCTATAGTCAAAGAAACTGATCAAAGCACACAAGGTGTTTTGTTTATTACGTGGATGTATTAAAATGCAATTTAAAACTCTATAAATAAACATATTATATGCAGATAATAAAGAATACTTTTGCAAAATGGATAGAAAAGACTATACGTGGTCAGTATTATCAAGAAAGACACAAGCAACATAAATTGAAGTGTAGCCAGAGGTCACTGAAACATAACCCTTTCCATTGAGGAGAAAATATATGGCCCATACAAGCTCCTTCTCCCCTCCTCCCTTCTAATTGTTATATAATTGTTCATAGGAATTGGTTAGGGAGGCAGTGAAATAGCATCGCCTGCAACTGTCTGTCTCGGATAGCAGGAAGATACATCATATCAGTCTACTCAGCAAGACACGCTCTACCTGTCATACTTCTACATGAAAAAAATAACATCTTCTCCCTCAAGAAATAGACCCACAAGTCATAAACCCCACTATCTTCTGTCATCAAATTACCATGGTCTTACATAAGCACACTTACATCCCACTGAGAAAACACAGTTAACTGTCAGCTTTAGAATGTAAAACTTAATTCCTAATTAATAGTCACTAAATCTGATGATGAGTTAGTTCGACGCTGCTGCCAAAATGGTACTTGAACTGTGAAACTGTAGTTCACTATTAGTATTGCAGAAAGCCTGCTTACACAAAGGAAAAAATTACTCCTTAAAAAAAAAAAATCAACCTAAAAACACAGTAGAACACTGTGGTAGTCACTTATAAAGAACCTATACAAAACATCAAAGGAATGACATTTTTGCCTGCTGTACACACCAGGTGAAGGACTTCCCTGACAGAAGAAAAGTGCCATGGTGCATAAAGCCACTGTGTTTCTGACTTCAGTGGTAGGCACCCGTGCTACTGGGTGGAAATAAATTTCTGGTGGGAAACACCAGGGCGGAGACCAGAAGGGAATGCCACTGCCACGTATATATACCGAGGACAGAGTATATTCAGGAATCTCATAGTGAAAGAAGCCTTCAAACTGCCTCCTTGGAGAAAAACCAGGCCAACAGTTCACTGTTTTTTAAGAAGGCATTTTCTGTTTTTCTGAGTAGGACTTGATGGATCCACTACCCTGCTTTTAGAGGAAACAGCATGACCTGCCTGCCAACGTATTATTTACCTTCATAAACAATGACATGAATAGCATGAACAGTGAATTTGGATTTGATGACTACTAGAAAATAATTGGGCAACAGAATAAGAATGCAAAAAAATTGGGAATGGCAGGAACAGTTTCCTTTTCCCTTGACCCACTTAATCTTTGACCAACAGGATTTGAAAAGCTATATGAAAGAACAACAAAACTATCCATTACTTCTGCCTGACAAACACAACTGCTATCCAATAAAGACAGACAATTTTAACACAGGAAATCTCAGTCTCTTTTTACAGATTTTATCCCTTGATATTAGAATGCCTGATGAAAGCAGGTATCTATCTGCTAAGGCAAAAGTGAATTCCAAAATCACTGATACACTGAGGAAAACAATGTCAGGTGTCTTTTTATAAAATAAAACATACTGAAATTACAAACAAAGTGTATTTAGACCATATCAAGTTTGGACTCCCAGCAAATCATTGGTAACAGACATGAGGCTGTATTTTTATTTAGGATGAAAGCATTTAACACTTTTTAAGGCAGAAGGTGTATGCACTTTCTGAGCACATGAGCAAGGATTTATAATATTACAATCATTTCTGCTCAAAGATGGACATCCAGATTCAGCCATTGTGGTGCAACCTTCTAGAAAATCTCAAACAATACATGTGTCAAAACTGCAACTCCCTTCGATTTTCAAGGGGAACAATAAGGAAATTACTTTTTATAGACCTTATGAGCAACTATTTTTTCACACTTCAGTTGGTAAAAATTTGGAAACAGCTAAAATCATCTCAGTGTTCTATGCTAAAAGGAAAATTTTGCTTAATAAGTATCTTTAGACTTGAATCTTATTAGCCATTTCCTTTTCATTTAAATGACACCCATAACAATACAGACTGGAAAAGGTAAATAAAATTTGCCTAGAAGACTTCACCAGTAGTTTAAACATTTTTCTAAGTGCCAACAAAAGAATAGCTAATCATCATACTAATTACCAAACTAGAAGTGTGCATCCACCCACAAACTTTTAAAAGACAATATGCTAACCTGAAAAGATAATGAAAAAAGATGGAAGAAAACACAAATTGTTAAAGCACTAAACATTTCAAGAACAGGCATTTCTGGATACCTGACTGGTTTTTGGACAAGTCTGGACATTGCTCACCAGGCCCTTCTCACCACTGTTTATCTCTCCCCTTCTCTCTCTGCAAAGACTAACTTCATTGGAAAAAACAAAGAAGTGATTTTTAAAATCAGCATTTAAACCTTCAGTTCCATACCTATGAACATAAAACATAAGAAGTAGTACAAAAGAAAAAGGTAACTTTCAGTTTTCAGCAGCCTGATAGTTCCTCTTATTTTTAAAGACAGAATTTTAAAATGAATGAAAAAAATCTATATTTTTTCATTCAAGTGGTCAACATTATCACAAAAAAGATAAAACAGCCACCAGAAGGAGACTGCAATAAAGAATGGTAAGACTTCGTTGCTAAGAATGTGTAGAGGACTTCTACAAGTCTCCTACTTACTTCCTTTGTACAATAGTGTACATGAAAAATTCCCTGCAGATGCAATACCCTGCTGGAGTGTAATTATGTACTCCTGAACATTTCTCCCAGATGATTCAGGAACAGCTAATACAAAAAATCAGAGGAGTGATGGAGAGGCAGTGGTAATATATTACCTATCTGACTGACAAAGACTCATCTTTACAGAACCATTAACTACTGTAAAGATTATAAAATATGAAAGAAGATACTCATGACCAATTCTTGACCATTCACCATTTTGATTTACTTACAAATTCACATATTTTGTGAGACTAGAATTAAAACAGACATCTGAATAAGCACGAATTTTTTATATCACTGTATTTCATAAACAGGTAGAATATATGCATTAGTTGCAAATACATTAGCATACATACTCATATAAATTGTCATTGACTTAATAGACGTGTAGACAACTAATAAACAAACATACTTTCAAATCATGTGTATGGCCATATGATTATAAAATACACATTCAGGAAAAAGAAAATCAATCTTTGGAGAGAAAATAACTTTATATAAATAATTAGTATTCTGACAGACTACTGGGTTTCAGCGGCCAGGTTTTGGTAGTAGGAGGGCCTACAGGAGTGGCTTCTGTGAGAAGCTGCCAGAATCTTCTTCCATGTCCAGCAGAGCCAATCCCTGGCAGCTATAAGATGGACCCATCACTGACCAAGGTTGGACCAACCAGAGTTGACAGTAACACAGTAACAGATCTAAGAAGGAAAAAAAGTAATTGCCCAGATGTACTTGTAGCCACAGAAGAGCAGAGAGAGAACATGTGACAGGAACAACCCTGCAGACACCAAGGTCAGTGCAGAAGGAGGGACAGGAGATGCTCCAGCAGCTGCTGGAGCTCAGATTCCCCTGCAGCCCGTGGTGCAGACCATGGTGAAGCAGCTGCAGCCCGTGGAGGATCACAGGGATGCAGAGATCCACCCGAAGAGGAGACCCAATCCAGAGCAAGGGAATTCCTGAGAGGAGGCTGTGACCCCGTGGGAGGCCTGTGCTGGAGCAGGCTCCAGGCAGGGAGCTGCAGACCTGGGGAGAGAGGAGCCCACACCGGAGCAGATTTCCTGGTAGGACTTGTGATCCCACGGGGGCCCCACGCTGGAGCAGCCTGTCCTTGGAGGACTGCACCCCGTGCAAGAGTGACCCACCCTGCAGCAGTTTGTGGAGGACTGCTGCCATGGCATGGACTCACACTGGAGAAGTTCATGGAAAACTGTCTCCTGTGAGAGGGACCCCACGCTGGAGCAGGGCAAGGACTCCTCTCCCCGAGCAGTGGGAGAAACAACATGTGATGAACTGACCCTAACCCCCATTCCCTGTCTCCATGCACTGCTGGGGGGAAGGAGGTAGAGCTGGGAAAATAGGGAGGGATGAGAGGAAGGCGTTTTTAATATTAAATTTTACTTCTCAATTGATTTTTTTAGAATAAATTCAATTAATTTCCTGAAGCTGAGTCTGTTTTGCCCATGACAGTGCTTGGTGAGTGATCTCTCTCTGTCCTTATCTCAATCCATGAACCATTCATTATATTTCCTCTCCCCTGTCCAACTGTGGAGGGAAGTGATAGAGAGGCTTTGGTACATGCCTGGCATTCAGCCAGGCTCAATCCACTAAAACTACATTTACAGATATAAAATGCTATACCTTCTCTTTTTTTGCTGTAAGCATAGTTCCTTGACTGTGAACTTACTCACAGATTGGTGTATTTTCATCTGATAAAACTCTTCTTCAAGATTCAGCCTATAAAAAAGGAAATAAAAGCATTAGTACAATCACACAGATGCCACTAAAATAATTTTAAAAATTAAACCAAACCCATACCAATGTATTACTGGAAAAAAGTTGTCAACACCCAGGGATTAGTTCTAATTTGACAACACTTAGCATTACTTCAGACATAAGGAGGCCTTTGTACAACAGCTTTTTAAAATGTGTAAATCATCTGAATTTCCAAAATTCAGACACAATGCTGATTGTAGCATACACTAAGAAGTTTCAGCCCATCTTTTTTAGGTAAGTAAATGTTTGAGATTAAAAGACCAGTAAGAGGTAGAATCCTTTTAAGAGGCAGGTAAATACTCTGTCTCAGGGGAAACTGCCAGCCAAACTTGTGAAGATACATCTTATGATCCAACAACTATTCAAGAAACTTATTAACAGAACCATTCCTCCCATTTCCCAGCCCTGATGGATTACTATATTACTACCATAGTTTAGTCTGTAATATAAACCAGCTAAGGTCTGCACAAATTGAATTTCTCTTTTTTTCAATTTAATAAAACTACATGCAAATAAAGTTGCCAGGATACCAATACTGAAGTTTCAAAGTCAAATTGGGAAATGCTAGAAAGACATTAACTTAAATTGTTATTAAATTGTTTATTTATATTTGTTTTCTGACACGTTCTCAATCTATACAGCTGTACACTATTTCAACAATAAAACCCCGACCTGTTTTGGCCAAATATCATACAGCACACAGAACAAAGTAATAGGCAGCTTTTGCTTAAAATATAAATTCATTTCATGCATAAATACACATTATTCTAGCTGTGTTGTGAAACTTTGACTGCTAATGCTCTCACTTATTTCAGTTGTACTCTGAACAGCAGCACCTGTTTCACAGGAAATTTATGCTTTACCCTACTTTGCCCTCTGAAATAGGGCTCAAAAAAGATCTGGCCAAAATATTTGCTAACTTAAGGAAAGGACTTAAAAAAAATAAGTCTTCTAGTATGCACAGTATGTTAAACCACATTGTAAGTCAAATGCACCTCTGACTCAGCTGTAAAACATGAATTACAGAGAAAATTATAAATGGAAAGTTAAAGTAACTTACTTTGCATGACACATAAGAAATCCAGCTAATTTTGGGATCTCTCATCTGCCTTCACAGGTTGATTTTTTTTGCTGTTCTTTCATTCTCCAAAACTCAGTCATTATCAGTTTCTATTACACAGACTACAGCGGCTTTTGTCTCCACATTGTCTTAACTCTTCACAGCATGTTAGCTTTTTGCACTGAATGGCAAAATATTTCCTTGAAAATACATTGTTTACACAATTGAAGGCTGAAATCAATAAGACATGCTTCCTGCTTGAACCTCTATCTTCTGAACAAGTTACTTTTCAACTTCAAAAACATTATCTGCATAAATACATTTATGAACATACATACTGCCTCTGTAGACACTAATTGACAAGCATGCAATAGTGATCGTACAAGATTTTTAAGTGTAAACTTCTGCAGGTATTTTTTTTCTTTCAGCTGATGGAAGATGTGCAGAAGTAAACTAATTATATAAAATAAATTAAGTGGAAATTTATAGTCAGAATAACTGATGTGGCTCCAAACAAATTAATTTATATGTGAAATAATTTCCTACCGAAGTTAGGATATATCTATATCTGGAAAAATTTTAGTCAAGTCCAAACCAAAAATTACAATGCACAATGCAAGATTCAACGCATCCAAGTCAATGACTGGTTTCTGTAAATGCTAGAAATGCTTAAATGGGTTAGCCCAGTGCCAAGTCCAACCATCAGTAGTACTATGTCTCCAACAGAGACAAAAGCAAATGCTGCTCAAGAAAGAGTGGAAGCTGAACAGTTTCTGCAGTGGGAGTCCAATTTTTCACCCTGGAAATAACACACAAGCACTACTGTTTATTTCTTCTGCTTTAACTGGTTCCCAGTTGCTAAAAGGACCTTTCCACTAATCCCACAGCAGAAAAAAAAACCCAACAAAACAAAAACAAAAACAACTTTATAACCTTTCATGTGAGGGCTTGTTAAAGGCAACTGAAAAAATACCAATCGGGTTACTATTACCACACAGCTACTGCCACCCTTCTACAATTCCAGCAGGTTAATGAAGCAGGATTTACAGGAGTCACATTAATGCTTCCCCAGCAAAACTCTGCTGATTTGTTCTTAGTGATATTTCTCTCTTTGTGATTGTTTGGTTGTTTTCTGGCTTTTTTTTCACTTTCTCCCTTTCACCCTTTTTCCTAAAGACTGACTGCCATCTTCAAAGTATGGAAGCAGTCAGGCTCACTGGTCTGCAGCTCCCTCTGGAGCCTATTCTGTAGATGGGAGTTATAGTGGCAACCTGCCAGTCCATTGGCACACTGGCTGTTAAAAGTAGGGTTAGAGTAATTTCATACTTCAGTTTCTTCACATCTCTGCTTGTGAAGAATATTAACTTTAATATATTTACAAGTAACTACTCTACTTGACCTTATAATTGCTCTACAGATACTTCAAATAGGTCTTATGCCTTTGATCTATCTGCTGCAAATCTTACACCAGTTGTTGGCATCTTCTAATCATTATTAGCATGGAAACATACAATCACAGCAAGCTGGGGTTGAAAGACATCTTGGCAATCACCTAATACCAGAAACTGACCAAGGAAAAAGACTGCTACACTGCTATCATTAAGCAAACCTATGAATTTCCTTATTGTCTTCTTTTTCACTCTATTTAAGTAAAACTCTACTGCAATAGCTTAAGCACCTTTGAAAACCACTCTTCAGAAGACTTTTTAAGGTTCTCAACTTCCCACCTGCATTTGTCCTTTCTCTATTTATTGGTCCTACCTGTTTCTCAGCAATGCAAGCTTAAGTTTCAAATGCTGACCTTTTCTGTGTAAGGGGCATAAAAGCTTCTGCAGTCTCTAGAGAGCTCCTTAAGACTCTTTGGGGGCAGGGGATGGTTTGCAACTATTTTATTTTAATTTTTTTTAAACTGTAGCGCGTATTTCAGATTGTTTCAGCTACAGTATATTTCTTAACAGTCTCCAACCAATGTTTCTGTACTGCTTGCTCCAGTCTTCAAGGGTTGATGAGTTTTTGACTAGTTGCTTCATTTTTATGTTTCCTTTCTGGAAAGGGACTATCCCTAGGTCAATTGATTTGGTCCACTCTTTTCTGATATTATTTAAATTAAAACAAATAAACAAACAATACATAAACCCAATATATAATATATAGGCCTTCCTTCTTTCCCTGGAAAAGTCACAGAGCAAATCATCCTGGAAATAATGTCCATTCACCTAATAGACAATGTGATTGAAAACAACTAGCACACATTTACCATGGAAAAATCTTGCTTTACCAACCTTACTGGATCTGTAAGAGATGACTGACTGTAAGAAAAAAGGGAGAGCAGGCAAGAATGTATAGGTTGAATTTGGCAAGGTATTTGAGACAGTGTCTCATCTTAATGCCAAAGATTTGAGATCTGAATTGAAAATTAGATAAGGTGTCTGTAAAACTGGCTGAAATATTAGGTTGAAGGGGTGATGATATGTCATATGGAGTACAACTGGCAGCTAGCAATTTTAAGTGTTCCTCAGGGACCCATTATAGAGCCAGTACTGTTTACTGTCTTTATTAACAACCTCAAAGATGTGTTAGGTGCCTCACATCAAGTCCACAAAAGATATAACACTGAGGGAAGCAACCGAGGGCTAAGTAGGGGACTGGACCACTGCTAATTGAGACTTCATAGGAAGAAAAAACTGGCTGGTGGGAACTTCATGAAGTTCACTTAAGGCAAAGTCCCGTTACAAAACCTGTTTGAAAGAGGACATGCTAAAAGGCCAATTGGCTCAAGAGCAGCTTTGCAGAAAAAAATCATGTCCTTTGAACCAATATGATGAACATTAGCAGTGACATGCCTTTGTGATGAAGGCTAACAACATGCTGGCTGCAAAGGCAGCAGTCAGTCAATTTACAGAATTGATTCTACTCAGCACTTCTGAGATGGCACGAGTGGCTGTGCCTTGTTTCAGGCTCGTCCAAGAAAGACACTTACCTAAATAGATCAAGTATAGCAAAGGGGCATCAGACTGGTCAGAGGTTATGCATATGTTTTATGACGACAGGATGGAAGAAAACTTCTGACTACCAATTCCCACTTCCTTCTATCCTTTAAAGGATTGCAGGACCATTCTTGGTGCAACAGCCTATTATCACATCAGTTAGAAAGCAGGTCTCATATTTCACTCATGGTCTCATTTAAGACACTCAATGCTTTCTGGTGATTTCTTCTTTCTCTAAAGTAGTACTCCTTGTGGCTGACCAAATAAAATGTCTTACATGTAGAAAATCATACATATCACACTACACCAAACTGAATAAGCTGCATGCCACTGGGGGAACTGCTACCCGCATCCTGAGTTTAATTTTCTTGATCTTGGGAAGGTAAAACAGATACAGCCTCCCTTTTTGAAGCAGTTACTGTCATCCTATCCTATCCTATCTGTGGAGGCTATGGAGCCTGTCAGGCAGATACCAAAAGAGTTACCTGGAAATCAGCACCTCAGACTCCTGGGTTGCCTCACCACTTGGTGAGGTGAAGGACTCAGAAGGTTTCTCTCACAAAGTTTCTTGTTTGTTTCATAAATCATCCAAGTTATGTCACCCTTTAGCTCCTTCCCCAGTTCCAGAATGTTCTCAGTTCTCGGTTCCCCACTGACTTCCCATTCCCACTTCTCCACTCCACATCCCTGTCTAAAGGATTGCAGGACCATTCTTGGTGCAAGAGGCTATTATCACATCAGTTAGAAAGCAGGTCTCATATTTCACTCATGGTCTCATTTAAGACACTCAATTCTTCCTGGTGATTTCTTCTTTCTCTAGAGTACTACTCCTTGTGGCTGACCAAATAAAATGTCTTACATGTAGAAAATCATACATATCACACTACACCAAACTGAATAAGCTGCATGCCACT